ATATGTGTGTGTATATATATATATATATATATATATATATAGACATATAAACAAATTGTTAAAATTTCAGATTTCATTATATTATCATATTTATTTTCTCACTTTTCTGACAAAAACAGGAAGCTTTTAGTGCCATTACAAGAGAATGAAGAATAAAGAGCAAATTTTGTGTATAATGCATGCTTTATGCATTTTATTATGCCACAAATAATCGTGGGAAATGTAGTTATGCATGACTGTCACGACATAAATCAACAAAACGAGTAGTATTTTCTACATTCACAGTTGCAGCTTAGCAAGATCAATACCAGCTTGCTTACGCATTCTTTTATTGACATAAAGTCATTAACAACAACAGCAAAAAAAACGGTATTCTTATAAAAAAAGCGAGTCTGTGCTTGAAGACATGGAAGGTTTCTGCTTTTCTTATTTAAAGGACATTGAGTAATTTATTTGGTTACTTTAAACAAGTTCTGAAATTTCTGGTGTAGATAAACTAGTCCCGAGTAACAACATTTGCTTAACACCTCAAAGTGGCATTTTAAAGGACAGTGTTTTAAAACCATAGTTCTACACAACTGACAATTGGCATTTGTCCAAATAATGGGACTGTAGGCCAGTTGAAGCTCTTGAACCATTTACTGAATGACTGTGACCAACTTCCACAGATGAATAGTTTTTTTACAATGGATATTGCAGGGGAAAGCATTCTGAAGAGGTTTGTTCATTTGAAATGTTGTTGCACAAAGGAAGCTTTGGTATAGCCTGTCCAGTGATATCATCTGTGTTTTTTTAGTAGTAGCCACTATATTGTAGTTGCTGATTGATTGAATACACTGATTCATAAAGGTTTTCCTCTAATCTTCGCTTTTTTGAAACCTTATGACTGATTGAGTTGACTTCATTTGGTTTATATTGTAGTTCCTTGTTTGTGGTCTCAGACTGCTGCAATTATTAAGTCATGTGCTCAGTATTAGCTAAAGTGCTTGCAATAGAGGAGTTTTAGAGATTTATCAAATGTTGGCATGGTTTTCTATGTAGCAGCCCAGGGAAAGTTTTATTTCTCTTGCATAGCTTGCTTGTGCTTCATTTAAGTCTCAGATTGTCCAGTTTGTACATGTGGGTCAATAGAATTTTTGTGTTTGACTTTAGCATTTAAAATGTTGAGTGTTTAAAACAGCCTATTCTCTGGCTGCCAGTCCTGGTGAGTTTCACAGTCAAAGTCTAGTTTAGACTAGTTCGGTCACTGTGCCGTAATTGTCTGCTTCCTTCCTTTTGCGGTATTGTGTTATGAGGATGTTGAGACGTCACCTCTGCTCCCTGTGCTGTTTCACGCCTCCAGAAGACTCGTATTTGGCAGTGAATCAGGATGAGAGTGCATTCTGGCAGGTTTGTGAGTAACGGTACACCGTGTTATGTTCCTTCATGTCTGTTAGAAGAAATTCAGACCTCACAATAAGAGCCATAAACAAATCAAAATGACTCAGAGTAGTACAAGATACCAGATCACAATAGTGACAGATATAAAATGCATACTCAGATATGGAAGACACCATATATACAGTGTGTGTGTGTATGTCTCTTATGTCTTATGCTCACCAAGGCTGTAAAAACACTAATATTGTGAAATATTACAATGTAAAACAACAATAATTTAAAATGTCTTTTATAAAATGTAATTTATTCCTGTGATGCAATTTTCAACATCATTACTCTTTCTTTAGTGTCACATGATCCTTCAGAAATCATATATATATATATATAGTTTTTTTTTTTTAGCAACACCCATGTTATATATTTATAAATATAGACTAAATGGGTCTTTAATCATGAAAATGTATAGCTGTCATTACGTTTCAGGAAAGACTGACAATTCTGTCATAGAGACTTTAAGTGATTTTGCCTTTCAGAACACTGCAGAAACCACATAGCATTGTCCTAGAATGCACCCTGGCATCATGGTTGCACATTTTGCATAATACAAAAATCGACTATTTTAGCCCTCATTAGACACCCAGATTCTTGTTTCTCTCTGAACGTGACACCTTAAGTGGCTGTTGAAAATGGTTGGATATGGCTGCTATTCCTGTTTTGACTACGCAAATATTTGCAATGCATTTCGCGGGGATATTTTTCTGGGATAGCAGTGATTCAGCTGTTTCTGTGGTAAACATTTACACTGGGAGATAGTGAAGAGAGAGGTGGAGGCCTGAGATAAAAGATGCACGTCAGCACGGCGAAATAAATCTCGGCTTTTTAAGAGCCGAAGAGAAAGGAGGAATTATCAGCCTGTGTGTGTGTGTGTGTGTGTGTGTGTGTGTGTTTAACACGTGAACTGTGGGTGACTGTGCATGTGGACAGTCAGGGCAAGAGATGCTCAGGTTCCTAATGGCCACACACACACACATTTGCAGTATCTCTGGGTAAAGCTCATGCGCCTGGAGGAGCATTTGAAGCGCTGAGCCACACCGCTGCCTCTGATTGGCCGGGGGAGGATGCAAGAAAGGGAGCCAGGCTCCGCCTCCTCCCCCCTCCTGTGCGTGTTAGAAAGGAGATCGCTTGAGGAGAGCCGACAGCTTCACTGCGCCGAACGCACACTAATGCTGCATACTCCAGGGAGATCAGTCGATGCAGAACAATCTTCAGCTGAAGAACCCAAAACAAACTCAGACTTTAAATGTTGTTTAAGAGCGCTCTGCACTCTGAGTTCAGCCCATCGTCCGCAGTCTCAGCACCACAGCATCCTCTCCGATCGGCCCGGCTGTAAACATGGGCAGGCAAAGCCACGATGCCACGTCCACCACGGGCACGGGTGCAGGCAGCACCGGCGGCCGCATGCAGCGCTCCCAGAGCCGAATGAGTCTGTCGGCTTCTTTCGAAGCGCTGGCCGTCTACTTCCCCTGCATGAATTCTTTTGATGAGGAGGATGGAGGTAAGATGTGTCACGTATGGAAGGTCCAAATGAGTATCTTGCATGTCAAAGTTCATGCGTTTTGCAGGATATTTTGGTGTTATAGAGCATACCAACTGTTTTTAATTCATATTTAATTAGGTTTGTGGTCATTTATGGTTTCTGGTGGAGTTTTCATAAGTAATAGGCAGAATTGTGCATGGCTGTCAGCTATTTATTTATGTGCATAAATTGCTGTGACAGTTTTATAGCACTTAATAATTGTGCAGTGCGTTTTGATGGTTTAGCAGGAACCAAGCATCATTGTGACCTTGAAGGTGTTTGATTTCCTTTCTCTACAGCATCTCTCTCTCTTTCTCCCCATTCAGTCGCTCTAGAGATTAATATCATTGGAAATATCATGTGACTTTTCATATCTTGCAGAACAAACACCTTTTGTGTGATGTGTAGGTGCAACCAGATTTTAGTTAATACATTAATATATTCATCATTGAATGAATCTCATGAGAACATGTTCAGGTCACATTTCACCCCAAAATCTTTAAATAAATAAATAAATAAATACTGTAATAGAGGTTTTTTTTTTTAAATCTGCATAAATTAAAGGCAGTACAGAAAGAATACTATCATGATGTATAAATACTTTACAAATTAATATATGATTATTTTAATTTATTAATACATTTATTTATTTAAAATGACAATTTTGAGGGGAAAATGTGTCAAAATGAAGATTGTGTCACTTAATTTAATAGAGATGTTTAAAGACATGATCAGAAAACACGGCTTAATAAAAAATAAATAAATAAATAAATACTGTAATAGAGGTTTTTTTTAAAAATCTGCATAAATTAAAGGCAGTACAGAAAGAATACTATCATGATGTATAAATACTTTACAAATTAATATATGATTATTTTAATTTATTAATACATTTATTTATTTAAAATGACAATTTTGAGGGGAAAATGTGTCAAAATGAAGATTGTGTCACTTAATTTAATAGAGATGTTTAAAGACATGATCAGAAAACACGGCTTAATAAATTGACAGTCTATGCAAAAATTTAAATTCTGTCATTATTTGCTCACCCTCGTGTTGTTTCAAACCTGTATGACTGACTTTCTTCTGTGGAACACAAATGAAGATATATTGAAGAATATTGGTAAAAAACAGATTTTGTTCCCACTGACTTCTATTATATGGACAAAAAGTATAATGCAAGTTATACTTGCATTGGGAACCGAAACTCTTTGGTTACCAACATTCTTCAAAATATCTTCTTTTGTGTTCTGCATAAAAAAGAAGGTCATACAGGTTTGGAACAACGACATGAGGGGTGAGTAAATTACAGAATCATTTCATTTTTGGGTGGACTATCGCTTTAAGGTTAGTTTGAATTGCGTCCTCTGACATTGGGCATCATCGTTTCTCAGGTTTACTGTATCTCGGTCAAGTTCAACAAGAGCACAACCGTGTTTTTGATTGTTATATACAACTATGCAGTTAGTACAGAAAAGGACAGTCACATCCGCCGCTATGTTCGTCATCCTCTTGTGTTCAGCTACGTCTCAGGGCCGAAAGCAGAGGCGGATGACATTGAATGAAAAGAAAATCAAGCCTGCCGTGTGTGACCTGCGATTGAATGGTTTAATCTCAGCAGCTCAGCCATGTCTGCTTCCTGTAGCCTTCCTTCTCTCTCCTATCTATTGAAATTTGGTTTTTCATTATGGGCAGCCCTATTATTTTTCAGACATGGTCATGTCATGCCTAATTCTGGTTCAGTGCACCTGCATAACCCGTCATGTCAAATCACCCTACATCATGTGTAACGGACACTATGGCATGTCTGTAGGCCAGATATAGATGCAGTGCATCTAAAACAAGAAATTGTTGAATTCGTTCCATCCTGTGGGAGCAATACCACGTGTGTCTGGACCTTCATATCACACCGTCTCGATCAACAGCACATCAGCTCTCACATCTGAGGCTTTGGTTTCGTGTTGGGCGATGTGCAGAAGCGTGTCCTTCATCCCTCTGCCTGAGACGTCTTGATATCCTGACTAACAAACTGTCTCTGTCTCTGTAGAAGCAGGAGGAAAGAAGCTGCGCAGCACTATCCAGAGGAGCACGGAGACGGGACTGGCCGTAGAGATGAGAAGCAGGATGACCAGGCAGGCCAGCCGCGAATCCACTGACGGCAGCATGAACAGCTACATACAAGAGGGAAAGTAAGTAACAAAACACGTGCAAATAGAACCCTGCTGACAAATATTATATTATTATTATTAAAAATACATAAATAATATTATTAATATTAATAATCATTATTTGTATTAATTGTTATTATTAATTCAATAATAATTAATAATGACTATATATATATTGTAAAATAATAAAAAATAGTAGTAATAATAGATATTGTATATTGTACATATGCTTATTTTAAATAATAATTAAAATAAAGTATCAATAATAATAATAATAATAAATTATTGTTGTTAATAATTATTTGCATACTATAATTTAGATATTAAAATAAAAATATATATTATCGTACTAAAAATGTATAAATGTTATAATGTATATATGCATATTTTAAATAATAATAATAATTAAGCATTCAACAACATCTGTGACCTGTTGTCGTTTACTACAGAAAATCAATTCTATTGTATTCAAACAAAAGTTGCATTGGCAGTAATGTCAATTTACAGTGAAAGTCTATGGGTCAGGGTATTGCACCAAATGTTAATAATAATAATAAACACTGCCACAAAGTATACTGCCACCATAGGACTTAAACACCATATAAAATGTGTCTATCCAATCTTTCACCTGCTGCCATATCCATTTAAAGTCGTAAGCCTGGTAACTTTTACACAAACATGCAAAAACACCAGAAAGCAACTGTTTACATCAAAAAATACCCACTTTACAGGTAGTAATCAGAAGTTAATCTACTTACAACAGCAGTTCTATGCAAAAAGAGCAATTGTGAGGACTTTATAGCTCAAATAAACAAATTTGTACAGTTGAACAAATATAACTCCTTTAACGTGCATATAAGCTGCACATTTCTGCTTTTCCCCGAGATTTCCACTGTAAGTGCTTCACTGTAATGCAAAATGTTTTTCTGTGATAACCAACAGCCTGTCACCTGTAACATCATAAGATCAATCTCTACTGTTTATCTAATCAGAACCTTTTCTTCTCAGCCTCATCTTCCCCGGAGTGAGACTCTCTTCTGACAGTCAGTTCAGTGGTTTTCTGGATGGACTTGGCCCCGCCCAGCTTGTGGGAAGACAGACTTTAGCCACGCCCCCTATGGGTGAGTTCTTGTTTATTATTGACTTTCTATACACTTCACTCAAGTGCTTGTGTCTCCAGTCGCACTCAAACATTATCCAATATTAAAACAGCAATATTACCCATGTGTGGCTCATATATCCTTGATTTGTTCCATGTCTAGGTGACATTCAGATCGGGATGGTGGAAAAGAAAGGAGCCCTAGAAGTAGAGGTCATCCGAGCCAGAGGCCTTGTGGGAAAACCAGGTTCTAAGGCACTGCCAGGTGAGTGCTGTTACACTTTCTGACGGTGATTTCTTAGGCACCTGAATTTCTTAGGCACTCGTCACTCACGATTAAACTCTTCTCCAGCCCCTTATGTAAAGGTGTATCTACTGGAGAACGGCGCCTGCATAGCCAAAAAGAAAACAAAAGTAGCACGAAAAACACTGGACCCTCTTTACCAGCAGCAGCTGTCGTTTGAAGAGACCCCAGGAGGAAAGGTTTTACAGGTATAATGTCATCACTAATGCTTTTAATTACCAGTTTTCGGTTATTATCTCAAGCTCATTTGGCCAATCTAAAACGGAAGCAGTACCTTTATCAATTAGTTAGTTCTCAAACATTATCCAATATTAAAACAGCAATATTACCCATGTGTGGCTCATATATCCTTGATTTGTTCCATGTCTAGGTGACATTCAGATCGGGATGGTGGAAAAGAAAGGAGCCCTAGAAGTAGAGGTCATCCGAGCCAGAGGCCTTGTGGGAAAACCAGGTTCTAAGGCACTGCCAGGTGAGTGCTGTTACACTTTCTGACGGTGATTTCTTAGGCACCTGAATTTCTTAGGCACTCGTCACTCACGATTAAACTCTTCTCCAGCCCCTTATGTAAAGGTGTATCTACTGGAGAACGGCGCCTGCATAGCCAAAAAGAAAACAAAAGTAGCACGAAAAACACTGGACCCTCTTTACCAGCAGCAGCTGTCGTTTGAAGAGACCCCAGGAGGAAAGGTTTTACAGGTATAATGTCATCACTAATGCTTTTAATTACCAGTTTTCGGTTATTATCTCAAGCTCATTTGGCCAATCTAAAACGGAAGCAGTACCTTTATCAATTAGTTAGTTGTTAAAGTCGACAAATACATTTTAATGGCCAATACCAATCTAAAGGGAAAGGATTTATACCAAAATATAAATGGTGTATATATATGTTTGTGTCTACAAATTGTAAATAAATTCTATATATTTTGTATATAATTTATATTTTTATATTTAATATATATGAACTATATAAAGTGAGTGTTTACATATATATATATATATATATGCTTTAATGATTGAATAAATGATATGAGCAAATAACTATAATACATAATAAATTTTAAATAATTTAAATCAACATTTTTTTACAGAATATTTACTCGGCTAACATTTAACATTTTTATTATGAGGCCTGGCCTCTGTCTATCACTAGTTTGTCAATTTTTTTTGTATGAGTGTGACTTGATATTGATGGCTGTTTATTCTCTTTCCATCGTAGATCATTGTGTGGGGAGACTATGGACGTATGGACCACAAATCCTTCATGGGAGCCGCTCAGATACTTTTAGATGATCTGGACATGTCCAACATGGTTATTGGCTGGTTCAAGCTGTTTCCTCCCTCTTCATTGGTCGACCCAACCCTGGCCCCGTTGACCAGAAGAGCTTCCCAGTCGTCCCTCGACAGCGGGTCCGGGCCGTTCGGTCGCTCGTAGCAGTTTCCTGAAATCTAGCGTTATTGTAGCAGCCATTGGGTGGAGTTTGAGATTTGCGACAGGTCCCGTCCCCCCGGTAACACTGCATGCTTGATGTTGTGTGTTCAGAGCTTGTTTCTTAGGGGTGAAAAAAAGCGGTCCTGTTTTTGCTCGCAAAAAAAATGCCGCACACATTGTGCGCAAAGAGCAACCCCTAGAGGGCAGGGACGAGACGAAGCTGGAAAATGGCCTCCTTAGCCTGAGGAACGTCACAATTCCTGCTTTTAGAACCTATTTGAAGCCAGTGGAGATGAGTCTGAACTGAGAACTGACACGTCGAGTTCTTCAGAAGCCCATTTTGAAATGGGGCGAAACCTTCTCTTCGACTTTTGTTTTCCATTTATGTTTCTTTTAATGTTGATGTATTTGTATCTACATGGGCTAACAGTGTTCCTTGGGTCAAGCCATGCCAACAGACCCAGAAATGTACACACAAAACAAGAATATGACGTGGGAATGAGCACCTCACTCCCCAAATACGATTCTGCTAGATCATTACAGAGATGAAATGTAGGTTTGAATCATCTTTTAAGATCAAATTGAAGTACTTCTCTTGATACCGTATGAAACCTAAAGAAGAAATAACGAGTTTTTTGTTGCATGGACACAACTTTAGCTGAACTTAAAAAATAAAAAGTGAATAGGAAATCATTTTCTCAGACTGCTACTTGCAAAAAAAAGACGACAAAAAAAGAAAAAGAAAAAATGAACCGGATCAGCCATTTTCAACTATTTCTATTATTTTTAAAGATAAATTTCACTAGTGCATGATTTTCATGGGGAGTGAATGCTACAGTGTGATTTAAAAAAAACAACAACAACTTGAAACCTTGTTTTTTTGTCCTGTAGACCATTCATTGGTCTCTACTGTATTTTTACAGACAAGCAGATAACTGACAAGCTTAACATTTTATTTACAGTGAGAAATCTGTTCATGTGACAAAGATGGAAAAAAAATAAATGTCTATGATTTATTATTGTAAAGGCGTAAGCCTTATGAAGCTAAAGACGATGTGCAAATTGTACGTTTCTCTACTTCTCCCTTGTCCCAGGGTAAACTCTCTGTACTTCTTGCTTCCATTGTCAGATTTTCCCCCTGATATTGTTCCAGTTCTCCTTTAAATTTTTATTTTCAGGGCTGTTCGTTTCCCACAGCTCTTCTAGTTTTAGTCTGGATATTGTTTGAAGTTCATTCGTTTAACAAGCATGTTGAAAAGGGTTTTTGGCAACATGGCTTTGGCACATCTTACAGTAACTCAGCATGTTTTGATAAAGAAGATATTTGGAGAGAAAAAAATGCAGTTTCTTGTACAGTGCATGTCGACGACGATTCTCTCCCCCCCTTCACCCTGAATTGAATTTGAGTGAAAATTAGGCAGTGGTCTCACACGGACCAGAAGGGCAAAATTCCGAATGAACATTCCACCTTGTAAAATCATACTTTGTTGACCAATTTAAGGGAAAAACGTGACCAGGGATTTTTATATCTTTAAGGAAATATGAGCTGCAGTATTCCTGACAAAAGAGCCCAAAATTTCACGAGATCTTTTTACCGGAGACGGCTGCAGCTCACTGACTTTGGCAGTATTGTGCTGTACAGTTTTCCGAGCATGATGCTGTCTGCAGAGAAATGCACATCGGGACGATGATATTGCCACACGATATAACTTTGGTTTTTATTTCTTCGTTTCAAGAAAGTAGAAGTCATTTAATATATTTTTGTTAGTTTATTTACAAGCCAAGACCTATTTATTTTTTATTTTCTATTTTCAGAACTTCTTAGTTAATTCTTATGTTTTAATGCATAGTTTTAATTTAGAGACATTATACCTCTTCCTTTGAAAATAAACTTTTCTGATTAATCATTTTGTCAAGCGTTCAGTCTGTTAATGATTTTTGTGTACGTCTGTCACAATCTACAGAATTTGAATGGCAAACTCTCTAGATATTGTCAAATCTTATGGAAGTGGGATAATGTCTCACGATGTCAAAGGTATGTTCTGTTCTATTTCAAATGCCTTCTCTATAGGTTTTTTTTTTTTTTCTTCTTCTTCT